TCCTGGCCACTGCAGCCTCGACCTGCTGGGCTCCGGCGATCCTTCCGCCTCAGCCTTCCGAGTAGCTGGAACTACAGGCGCGCGCTACCACACCTGGCTAATTTTTGATTTATTGTAAAGATGAGGTCTCCTCAAAGTTGCCCAGGTGGGTCTCGAACCCGCGGGCTCAGGCAATCCACTCACCTCAGCCTCCCAAGGTGCGGGATTACAGGCTGAGCCACCGAGCCCAGCCCAGAAATCATTTTACCATTGACAGATCGGGGTTCTAGACATCTAACTTGCCCACATGTGCCTATTTGACACAAGATAATTCTGAATACCTGCTCTCATCTCATGGAATTCCTATAGAGAAGGTTGCTCAGATTTTCAATTAGGAACATCTGTTTTTCCCCCTGCAGCCCTGGCAGTGGGCAGAAGCAGGACCTTCACTCTCCCTCCCAGCAGGGAATGTCAGAAGTCACTCACTCAACACTGAGGTCCCTGGGTGGCTGCAGTTTGGTGCTGAAATCCCGAAGGTTAGAGAATGAAGAGTTCTGAGGAAGGAGGTACAGGGGCCTGTACCATCTGCGCACTTCAGTCCCACCCGGCTCAATCTCTCCTGTCTCCTCTACCACAGTGACTGACCAGGCTTCCTTCCTTTGCGCAGCCTCTACCTGTTTATCAGCCCAGGGCTTCCTTTTCCAATACCCACGGGGAACTAAAAGCAGTCCCCAGAATGCTCCACCTGCACTTTTGTGCTGAATCGTTAATTTCAGTATTTATGAAATTTTAAGATTTATGTTCTGATTGATCACAATGGTGATAGATATTCTTGAAAAAGAGGCATCAGTCCTCCCGTCACCTGAGGTTTTCCACAGCCCCTGAGGAAAACCAGGGTGAAGAATTGGTCTTCAAGGATCGGGGAAAGCTAACTGACTGCTTTCCCACTTTTGTAGTTCAAAGTTTTGAAATATTAGTGCTGGAGAGGAGTCTGGGAGCATAAACTGAACTTCATGTTAATAGCTTACTCAGTTTACTTTAAAATAGTGACAACTTTGTGGTCCCAAAACTAACCAATACAACTCAGTGTGGCCATTTAAACATTTTTGGCACGTTTTAAATATGACATGCCTATGTCAAATCTTTCCTGTTTTAGGAGATATTTTGGTCCTTTTAATTGCTTAGATTATTATACTTCAGGCATTTTTAAATGTAATAGTTCATGGAGGCAAAAAAGGATAGAGGGACCAAGCTGTCAAGGACAATAGCTGGAGTTCAGTCTTCCAGAAGTACTTTTCTAGCCAGAACTGATCAAAAGAGGAATCCACAGCACCAGATTGGAGTCTCTAGAATTTGGCTGCTTCTCCAAGGCAAGGCAAGGCTGGAAGGAAATTGAGAGTCAAGTCATCTTCCATGGTGGCAGAGAGCCCTTCTTAGTTCTTGTGGAGCCCCTGAGTCACAGGATTTCTAAGTCAGTCCTGGTCCAGATCCAGATTCCACAGAGGAGTAGCAGAGGAACCAGGAGAACAGCAGTACCCTCACACCAGGGACAATCAAGTGGGAGTCCTCAAAAGGCTGTTGGTGGGAGGGGCTTCTGATGAGGAGAGGCTCAGGACCCTCTTCAGGAGGAGCAGAGCATGAAAGCAGGGCTGGCTCCATGACATGCAGATCCAGCATAAGATGAAGACGTGGCCTCTTCAAAATTCAGGATAACAGCCAGGCACAGTGGCTCACGCCTGTAATCCCAGCACTTTGGGAGGCCGAGGCGAGAGGATTGCCTGAGCTCGGGGGTTTAAGACCAGCCTGAGCAACATGGTGAGACCTCATCTCTACAATCAAAAAGCCAGGTGTTGTGGCATATGCCTATGGTTCTATCTACTTGGAAGGCTTAGGTGGAAGGATAACCTGAGCCCAGCAGGTCGAGACTGTGGTGGTGAAGACATGTCACTGCACTCCAGCCTGGCAACAGAGTGAGACTCCCACTCAAAAGGAAAAAGAAAAAAAAGCTGGTACTAGAACAATGTTTTCCCTTTCTTCCGTGGTGCCTCTCACAGCTTCTTATAGTGGTGTTTTTATTTGCCACTTACTGCTGCTTTAAGTAAAGAAAAATTAAAATGTTAAATTACTAGCATGCATTTTACTATTTATATTGTGCAATTCCAGTTTTTAAATGAAAATATGAGCATTTAACTCATGAAAATCACCAAAATCACACAATTTATATTTTATACCTTATGTATGTGTGTTTTATTCTTAACACAACAGTGGAAAGACCACACAAAACTAGCTCAACTGTTTTCACTTGTTGCACATTTTACCAACACTCTACACCTTCAGCTGATGAAGGAACAATAGACTGCCCTATGCTTTCCTTTTCTTCTGTGTCATAATTATCAGCATATGTGCTGGGTTAACACAGGAACATTACATGGGTAAGAAAGGCTATAATAGGACTCCTAGATCATTCATGTTTCTTAGAATGCTGTCGTCTCCTTTCTGTATTCCAAGCAAGTGTAGTACAAATGGAAAGCATGGCCTCTTGGGACTCTCGGAATCCCCTTTGCTGAGTTGTCACCATGAGATGCTTATCTCATTATTATTACAATGTAATAATAATAGAAATAAAGTGCACAATAAATGTAATGTGCTTGAATCATTCCAAAACTGTCACCTCCCCGAACCCCAAGTCTGTGGAAAAACTCTTCCACGAAATTGGTCCCTGATGCCAAAAAGGTTGGGGATTGCTGTATTAAGCTGTTCTGAAGTTTAATCTATTAATGGTTTAAGAGATTCTGTGCTAAGTAGCAGTGACTTTCCAGAGTGACATAAAGTCCCTCTCTCAATTGAAGACACAGAGAAGACAAGGCAAGATGACCAAAATTTCAATTGTGGGGTACTGGCATGAAGCACTCCACCTGAAAGAGGCTCTTCTTGTGAACCAGGGTTTCCCAGGGGGCTTGAGGTGGAGGCAGACTGGAGCTGGACTGTGGGAGTAAACTCCAGGTGTAAAGGCAGAGGAGGAGAGGTGAGGTAGTGTTTGGAAAGAGTGAGTGGTTCAGGAGAGTAAAGCCAGATAAGTCATGTAGAAAGTCAATGACTCAAAACAAAGGTTGGGGTCATATTAAGGAAGATGAGGAAAAGGAGGGACTAACTTTCCTGAGTTCTTAACTATACAGTAGCTCATTTAATGGTCACACTCCATAATGGAGGCTGTATGTTTATAAGACAATGCATGGCTGAAGAAACAGAATCCAGTCTGGATGGCTTAAGCCAAAGAAGGAAATATTATAGGATCCCAAGGATAAGAGCAAAAAACCTTGAACGGGCACCCACCCAGTGTCCAATCAACTGTAAAGAAGGGGCCTGAATTACACTGCACAAATATGGCTGCTGGGGACCCCACACGTGGGTGGCTATTGGACAGAAAAAAGTTAAGAGCATATATTGTAATCTCTATAGTAACTGCTGGAATATAATATAAAGCAGTATAGCTTAAAAACCAATGCATAAATTAGAATGGAATTATTTTAAAAATTAAAATAAATTTGAAGGAGTAAATAGGGATATGGATAAAACATAACTGGTCATAAGTTGACAATCGAAACCAAGTGATGGATATATGGGGATTTATTATACTATTCAATCTTTATAAATGTTTAAAAATCTCCCTAAAGAAAAGTTTACAAGAAATACATGTGTTTATACGGACACTAAAACGTCCCTTGGTCCTTCTATCCCAGTCATTATATATGCTTTACTGGATTAAAAACAGATTTTGAATTACTCTCCATGCAATAAAAGCAAAACCACCCAGGCCCATTAAGTAGCAAATTTCAGACTCAGTAAGCATCATTGTCACTATTTCAGTGGATTACAAATCCTGATGCCTGGAACCTTTCCTGGAAATTTTGATTTAGTAGGTCTGGAGGGGGATTTAGGTATCTTTCTTTCTCACATGCTTCCAGTGACAATGGTGCATGTCAGCTTTAAGGGCTAGATTGTGGATTGTCATGTGCAAGCTGCCCCCTTCATTCCTGTCTTTGGCTTGGTTACCTTTCTGGAGGCAGTGTGATGATGTGGCACTTTAAGCACAGTCTTAACTACATGAAGGCATTACGAGGCATTCTGCCATTTATTCTCATCTCATGACTCCAGCACTGTCTTTTTCTTGGGCAGTTGATTTATAGCAGAGCCCGTTACCATCTTAATTGCTTTAGTTTCAAAACATAAATCTTATGAGTGTTTTTACCCTTTTTAACCCACTCAACCTCCATGTTGTTAAGCCTATTGCTACGAGTGCTCTCTTCCTCCTCCTCCACCAGGAACAGCACCTGGGTGAGTGACCTGTGTGGCCACACAGAACCCCTGCTTGGCAGGGGCTCACACTTGGTTTAGTGCCTTCTGTCACTGTCTTGACATTCTTCATTTTACCTTTGAACGTGTATTCTGTAAGTAAAGTCTTATGGGACAATGGAATGGGGACAAGAGCAGTGAGATACGTGTGCCCAATCGTGTACTTCCTACATGCACAGAATTCCTTTGGCCGGGGATGAGCTGGAGTTCAGAGAGATTCAAAGTGAGTATGAGATAAGCATCTTATGGT